GATGGGGGAGCTCCACCTCACTGCTCTGTCTTTTGCTATGAGAACTCTCTGTCTTTCCATCTGTTCACAACTATCTCTACTTTTCCTTCCTGCTGCAGAGATGATCTGGGAGAACCACTGGCCCCTCCTTTCTGGGTTACTTATTGCACCTTCACTTGCAAGGGGGGTGCGGTGCATAAGAGGCGCCGTGATTTTTAAATGGAAATGCCCTGAAGAGCCTGCACTCCTAGCTGAAGCCACCTGCACTGGGTTGTGTGAAACTTGGTTTTCTTGGGAATTCATACTACATGCTTCCACAACTGGGACAGACTCTGTCAAAAAGGAGGGGTGGGGGGGTTGAATTCTCTCCCCACCTTCAAAAGCAGCTGAGATAACCCCACACATATCTGAATTTCTTTGCCCACTTCTATTGCCTTCACTGAATGGCGATGGGTCTACAGTGGCCTCAGGAGAGAAATCAGATTCTCCCAGTGCAGAAAGATGTCTTCCTTTGCCTCTTCTGAGGGACACAGCTGCAGGTAACATGGGCAGCCTATGACAAAATTCAAGTCAAGCTGCTGCTTCTTATGATTGTGTATGGTGTTAATGACAAACAACAAGGACAGGAGGAGGGTGAGCGCTAGGGTATTAGGTAAAGTTATGGTCTTTACCCTTGGGGGTCGACTGCACTTCACAACAATCATATATATATAATTCACCCATAGCATCCTGAAGGTTAGGAATGTGAATCTTTAGGCTGTTCTATTACTACTAACCAACTATTGTGATAATCTAGTCTTTTATCCATTTTGGGAAAAGAAAGGAAGCCTTTCACACTTAGCTTTGGGTTACATATAACTCTTGTGAATACAAAGTTATGTCTGAGTTGATAGATTCATCACAACTGCCAGCAATACTAGGACCATCCTAATTCAGAAATGCTAAAATGCAGCATATATATATATAATTCACCATTAGCATTTTGGTTGAAAGTTGGACCTCTAATCTCAAGGTCAGGAATTTGAATGTGTAA